TCCTCCTCTTCCAGTCCCAGTGAGTGGGGGGGTCAGAACCGAGCTCAGAGCCCTGCCGGGGTGGGACAGGCCTCGCCGCTGCCCTTCCAGCACCAGGACCACCAACAGAGACAGTGTAAGCCACACGGGCACGTCTAAAAATGTCAGTTAAAACCTCGCAGTGAGAGCGAGAGATGTGAGCAATGTTTCTCTACAGTGCATCTGTCCAGAGGCCCCAGTCCCATATCGCTCAGCACACAGGAGGCGTGGCCAGTAGCAGCAGCCATTACTGAATACATCAACGCCTACTTCAAAGGTGGACAGCACAATCGGTCAGCGTGGCGCTCTTTATTTCTTCATTTTGTCATCTAACTGCAGGCGGTGCGCTTACTTTAATTAACTTGCCTCGTCTTCCGTCCTCAGCTGTCTGGTGAAGATCACAGGTGACCTCACGATGTCCTTCCCAGCAGGCATCACTCGTATTTTCACTGCCAATCCCAACGTTCCCGTGCTCAGCTTCAGACTGGTCAACATCTCAAAGATCGATCACTTTCTGCCCAATCAAAAGCTTCTCTACAGGTCAGCCATCTTTTTGTTGCTTTTTTCGTCTCGGCTCTCGTGTCTTTATCGTCGCTGTCTTCGATGCTCCTCAGCGACCCGTCTCAGAGCGACCCCGACGCCAGAGACTTCTGGTTCAATATGCAGGCTCTGCAGCTGCACCTGCAGCGGGAGGCCGAAGTCAACCCGCAGGCTTCGTACTACAACGTCGGGCTGTTCAAGTATCAGGTCAGGATAGAAACCGAGGATGCCGCTTCTCCGTGACACCCAGAAAATAACTTTGCCTCGTTTTCTCAGGTGTCTTCTCAGGACCCGGGTCGGGCGCCTCTTTTGCTCTCAGCCGAGTGTCAGCGGAGCGGCACGGTGACCAGGGTCTCCCTGGATTACCACTGCTGCCCCGCCACCGCGCCCTCCACCCAACTCACTGCCGTCCAGGTGCTGCTGCCGTTGGACCACACTGCCACAGACCTGCAGTGCCAGCCGCCCGCCTCCTGGTGAGCAGACGTGACTTCTTTGGCGTATTTTAATTTATCCTAATTTTGTTCTACTTTAACATCCAGAACGCCTCATGAAGGCCACAGAACGACAGTGTCGCTGTGATTATAGGGAGCGGTGTGACCCCTCCGTCCAAAGCAAATTTCTCCCAAGGGAGACAAAGAAAGAGCGAAACGTTGACATCCAAATAATGACATAAATAGAGCAGCTTGTGAGATGCAGCAGGTATGACAGGGGTGCACGTGGTTGCAGTAAAGCAGCAGTAACCTGTGTGAGAGC